AGGTCCCCTTTTTTTTTTTTTGATGTGCCTCGGGTGCCGTGCGCTGATCGTCACATCGCCAAAATCACCAAAAATATGGGGAGCCACCCCCGTGTTCTCACCGAGTTGGGAGAACGTTTCTGGCGTGCCTGGCGCATTTAGCATTTAGCTCTCATCAATCGCCCTTTCCCGAGTGGCAGCACCACTAGAATTTAGTCACTTGGCCTCCCCTCACTCTCGCAAGCATTACTTCTCTGGGATTGTAATCGACGCTTGGGTGGTTGGCTGCTCAGCTCACACGCCTCGTCTTCCTCCGCTATTTGAAGGCGCCGTATTCATTAGCAGCCGCCGTGGACCATCATCTCTGCTCCACTCCGGTTCCTCTTGAACATGGTTTCTGATCATTCCTAATTCATCCATTCATCCTATAGCTACTACCGAGCACCTTCTATACAGATATTACTATCCTAGCAGGTGGACACGCACACCATGGCGGAACCAGCCTCTCACTACGTTCCTCTGGACGTGCCTCTGCCTCCAGTCCCAACCACTAAAATCTTCACAGAGGAACAATGGACCACTCTTCTATCGTTAGCTGACACGGTCATTCCTTCGATCCGGAGTCCGACTGCATATAAATCAGCCTCGACCAAAGTCATCCCGCACTCCGAGCTGAACAAGTCTCTGGCGACATTAACTAAATCCATTCACTCTCCGGACGCTGGCACCATTGCAGCACAGTACCTAGAGGAAGACGCGTCGTCAAACCCTCTGTTTCGAGAAGGTTTGCAGCGCCTATTCGCGCAGTATGTGCACGATGAAGGGAGAAATGGCCTGGGATTTATCCTCAATGCTCTCAAGTGCGTATCCATTCTCAGACGTGGCCGTAACAGTCAACGCTGACGTGAGAATAGTACCCGGGCGGGATCGCTTCTCCTGACAGGATCTGTAACTCCGATCCACGAACAACCGTTACACGTTCGGGAGGAGATCTTCCGAGGATGGGAGACGTCTCGGCTGAGTCCGCTGCGCGGTGTTTACAGGGCTTGCACGGGCATGTTCAAGCAAACCTGGGTCAAGTTCAGCCCGACTCTTGCTCCTGTACTTGGCTTCCCAAGAGTGCCAGTGCACGGCAAGCCTGCCGATGGTTTCAAACACACCTTCCTCCAATTTCCTGCCGCAGATGAGCCGGAGACCATCGAGACCGACGTGGTCATCGTTGGCAGTGGTTGTGGTGGTAGCGTGGCTGCGAAGAACCTGGCCGAAGCAGGCCACAAAGTACTAGTGTTGGACAAATCCTATCACTACACGTCCAACCACTTTCCCATGAACTTCAACGAGGCCTTTAATAGCATGTTCGAGTCAGGGGGTGCCGTCGTGACCGATGATGGCTCGATGGCTGTTCTGGCCGGTTCAACCTGGGGTGGCGGTGGCACGGTCAACTGGTCCGCTGCCCTGCAGACCCAGGGATTTGTACGCGAGGAATGGGCGAAGAATGGCCTGCCTTTCTTTACCTCGATGGAGTTCCAGAACTGTCTGGACCGTGTTTCGGAACGGATGGGGGTCGACGTTGAGCATATAAAGCACAACAAGACAAACCGCTTCATCCTCGAGGGAGCTCGCAGACTGGGCTACGCTGCGAAGACCGTGCCCCAGAATACGGGCCACACTGAGCATTATTGTGGCTACTGTACGCTCGGCTGCCATTCCACGGGGAAGAAGGGCCCCACAGATACTTTCCTGGCAGATGCCGCGACAGCCGGCGCAACCTTCATTGAAGGGTTTCGTGCACACAAGATCCTGTTCACTGACACTAAAGATGGCCAGGTAGCGTCAGGGGTCGAGGGAGTGTGGACATCTAGGGATGCATACCTAGGTCGTTCAGGTGCAACTGCAGTTACGCGAAATGTCATCATTGAGGCGAAACGGATTGTCGTCTCTTGCGGCACTCTGCAAAGCCCATTGCTGCTTCTACGCAGTGGACTGAAGAATCCCCAGATTGGCCGGAATCTCCACCTCCATCCTGGTAAGATGCTCCCCGCGGGAAGGGAATGCCATTGCTAACGTTATCCACAGTTGCCATCGCGGGTGCAGTGCTAGATGAGGAGTTCCGCCCTTGGGAAGGTGCTGCCTTGACCACCGTTGTCAGTGAGCTCGAGAACCTAGATAACCAAGGTCATGGAGTTAAGATCGAGGCCTTGTCAATGGTGCCCGCGGCTTTTCTCCCTCTATTCCCCTGGCGCAATGGTCTCGACTATAAGCTCTGGGTGCAGAAGTTGCCTCGCATGGCCGGTCTGATCATGATTGCGCGCGATCGAGGCACTGGGCGGGTTTATCCCGACCCGGGTGATGGACGAATTCGCATTGACTATGCTGTTTCACCCACGGATCGTAAGCACATTGTCGAAGGTATAATCGCCAGTGCAAAGATGGCATATGTTTCGGGCGCAAAGGAATTCCACACTTCATGGCGCGAAGTGCCCCCGTTCATCCGCCCGGTGGAATCCGATGCCGGGGATACAGAAGGTGCCAACAATGCAGCACTTCAGGCTTGGATCGCGGAAGTGCGTCGCAAGAAACCCCTTGATCCGGAGCGAACCATGTTTGCCAGTGCGCATCAGATGGGGACGTGTCGAATGGGCAAATCACCAAGGACCAGTGTGGTGGACTCGGACTGTCAAGTCTGGGGCACCCGGGGTCTGTATGTGGTGGATGCGTCCGTCTTCCCCAGCGCCAGTGGCGTCAACCCTATGCTCACCAACATGGCCATTGCCGACCGGGCTAGTCGTAACCTGGCCCGATCGATGCGGAGAGGCGATCAGAATTTCCATGCTCGTCTGTAAATGAATCATTCTGCTCGTGCAGCAAGCCCCACCTGTCCACTGTCCATACATTCATACCAGACACATTCATAGCAGGGCTGCTGGTTGTGGCTGGACCCATAATGGTATATATCGCTAGCAGAGAACCAATACATTATTATTTCGGTTGATCACAGTCAATTTGCATTGCTTTTCCTATTAAGTCAAGTCATGAATCATGATCGCGGACCGGCCCCAATCCATTTATCTCCCCTGACTTAGTTCTCAGGCTCCTTCCTCTTCTCCACAAAGACCTTAGGTCCAAACGCCTCCTTGACATGCTCACTCTCAAGAACCCGCTCATACCAAGCCACCACACCGGGATACTCCTTCCGCATCTCGGCATCAATACTCAACGAGAACCCCCAATACAACGCCGCGGCCAGACTAATATCCGCCAAGCTCAACTTCTCCGTAGCCACCCAAGTCCTCCCCTTCAACCGATTCTCCAAAGCTCCCAACGCCCGGGTCAACTTCTCCAGCCCACTCTTCTCCGTCGCCTCATCGTACGCCTTGTACCCGATCCGCCACAGCGCCAACGAAGTCACTCCGCTCAGCACCTCTCCATCCGCGAAGCAGATCCACTGACGGATCAGCGCCCGTTCGGCGGGCGTGCTGCCGACCAATTGGCCCGCTGCGGGACCGCTCTCGGCCACGAACTGCGTGATGGCGTCGGATTCGGCCAGGAGGGTGCCGTCCGCGCCTTCGAAGGCGGGAACCTTGCCCATGGGGAACTTGCTGAGGAAGGTCGGGTCGCGGTTGGTTTCGCCCATCTTGAAATCGGCCAGGGTGAGGGTTAGGTTGTTGAAGTTAGCGGCTGCTTGGGTCTAGTTCAAGGTTGTGGTTAGTTTGGGTGGTAGTTGAGGGGATATAGTGGGGGGAGGGGGAGTACCTTCATGACCCGGGGGTTGTTGGGGTAGGTGTAGATGGTTCCGAAGGACATTTTGGCGGTTGTGATGTTGGTGTATAGAATTATTTTGGAGATTGAGGAGGTTTGTTCTGGTTTGGTATGATGAAGCAAGCAATCAGGCAAGCTGTGGACTGTCCTTGGGTTATAAATATGTTTAGGAGAATATAGATCGGATCAAGGCGGAGTGGAGAGAGAGGGGTTGATTCCTAAACTTGAAGCTGAGATGACAAATCAGCGGAATGGCGGTGGACGATCATACATTCTGATGGAATGTGATGGAAAGTATTACTACTCTGATTCAGTGTGAGGTTATATTTGTAAAACCGGGATATGCTTGATGCTTACTGTGTTTTATAGTGTATTGCTTTTTTATTTTTGCTTGCAAATACACTACTATTTCTGGGAAGGATTGATTGGCCTGTCAGCACACCTCCGAGTGGCTTGCTTTTGCAGGGAAATGCCGGGTTTGTTGTGGGGTCAGCAAGGTAGACTTTTGTAGATACTGTTAAGTTCCAAGAATGAAGTATATAAATTTTATTAACTACTATGTTGATATCTACTGAAAGTTTATATTGGTGATTTGTTTACGATATGGCGTCATTAGAGCTAAGTGTGGTACATCCGGTCTGATTGGTATATTCTGCACTTAAGGTTGCTTGGATCTGGATTCCTGCCCCTGGGTTAGTCATCTGATGTGGACAGCATTCTTCAGGTTCTCTCAGGGCTATCATTTGGATAGATGGTGCCTTTGCTTTGGTTGTCGGTGGAGGCTTCAATTAGTAGTTGGAGAAATATACTATCACGGGTCTAGTGTATGACACGAGGGCTTATGGACAGTACTGCAGGCTATCAGAAGTATCTTGGCTTCTCAACGTTTCTGCTCTGTCTAAGATGTAACTAGCATCATGCGATCTCAAGTCTGGTCTAGGTCTAGCAAGAGTGCCTCTCCATTACAATATCCCCGACAAAGAACCCTCTCTAATATAATATGTATACAACCCATCTCATCGCCAGTACTACCGACATGTATCTCTATCCCCAAAACAAAGCCCTACTCCGTACTGAGAACTATACCCAACGACACCACCCTACCATTCACTACCACCCCTTCAATCTACATAGCAACCCAAATCAACCCAAACTAAACCAAACCAAACCAACAACCAAACACATCCAACACAAATAGTATCCCCCCTCCATAATGCACAGCCCAACCTCCTTCACCTCAACACCCAATCCAATCCCTAACTATGGACTCCATAATCATCAAAATCCCAGGATCATACCCTCGTGACCACCGCTCAAGCCCCCCGATCGTGAATAAACTCATCAGTAGTAATAGCGGCGCACAACAATTCACAGAATTCACTCCGCAAGTCACAGCCCTGCTATCAAAATATGATGCTCGCGTGCCGCGCGAAAGTGCGCGTAGCATATCCAATCGGCAGTCGGATACAGCTGTTATGATTTTTGAGTTTTTGAATGGGATTGTTGGGTTTTTGAGCAGTATTTGTTCTGTTGTGTGCGCTTTGTGTTCTGGGTTCTGGGACAGGTATGTCTTATTTTGATCATCACCTGACAAGCTTCAGAGATACTGACATTATTCGTCCCCTAAGCACATCACAATCCTTGGAAGATAGTGTGGATGACAATACAACCGCCAAGATGCTCAAACCTATACTCCTGTTGCTTGCAGCATACGAAGCAGGGCAGGTGTACTCGATCACTACAGATGGAGAAGTCCTGAATGGGGAGGTCACGGTTCATGCTTGGGGACATGATTATGAGTTTGCTCGGACGTTGAAGCAGTATGATGATTCGCTGGTGCGTGATGAGTGTGCAGAAGATCAATTCTCCAAGACGATTGGTAGGATTGTTTGTGCAATGGGACGCAGTCATAATAAGTGGGATTTCCAGCACCTCAATAGTGAATGGTTGACTGATGTATCTGCAGACTCACCTACATTATGGCCACGGCTGTTCTAACCGAATGCATCTGCAATGTTCTACAAATTAGAAGCTGCTACGGGTTGGCGGTTATGATGGCGTGTATTCTTGCTGTTCTGTTTGCAGCAGCGGAAGATTATGTTGGTTGTTCGGCTACATCTACATCTACCTCTACCTCTGTGAAAGAGTATCGTGAGACGACGCTGCGGGATTTGATGATCGGTGCATTGAAGAAGAGTGGTATTCGCTATGCTAAAGTTCGGACTATATCGGCAATGGACACGTGCAGGACTAGTGACACCGAAGTGCTGGAAAAGTACCTTATCAAAGGACTGAAAGCACCCACCACCGGAACCGTTCACGATATATATGTGACACATTATAAACGTGGGATGCTTGTCGAGCGATTTACCCCCGAAGAAGATACGGTATCCCCCTCCAGCCCTGCTGACTCTCCCGACAATAATCACGACGGATACAAAGTCTCCTACGGCCTTCGGTACTTGGCGGAGGTGAGCCCGCAAGACCAACAAGCCATAGCAAAGGGCATTGGTAGATCATGGACCTGCATGGACCAGACCAGCACCATGATCTTGACCGAGTGTGACATCTCTGACGAGCACGCGGACTTTTACTTCGACTTTGATGCACGGAGTGATGACGAAGACAACGAAGAGGAGGGGGACATTGAGATCGCCGGCTCGTTGAATGGTTTCCTATAATTGAAACCTTGTGTCCTGTCAGTCTGCGTTGGTATCCCTGTTCAATCATGTTCTTAATGCAAAAGCATATCCCACACTTACCTCCCTCTTCCCTTTCCCTCCTCAAGTTCATCCCACCCCAGCACGAAAGCAATAAATAAACATCAAATGGGTATCACAACTCAACACCATCTCATAAAACTATCAAATCCACCCCGCCACCCCCCAACACCCCTCACAAACAACCCTCTCCCTCTTCCCCCCACCACCAACACCACCCGCAACCCCCAACACCATCCCCACCCTCCTCAACCCACCACAACCACCACAAAACACCCTCAGCTCGCCCTCCACCCTCACCAACGCCCCAGCTCCATACCTCGCCTCCTCGCCCTCGCCCTCCCCCCTCGGCAGAACCCCGCAATCAACACAGAACCTCTTCGCCCTGTCCCGTCCGTACCGACCTCTTCCGCGCCGGAGCATCCGGTCCGCGAAGACAGAGCCGGGACGTAACCGCAGACAGTATCGGCAGGTGTAGAGGTCGTGGGCGATGGCATACTCGGTGGTTTCGGCCGCGAGGAGGGCCGAGTGGCTGGGTTGTGGGAGGAGAGTGTAGAAGTAGGTGCAGGTTGCTTGGAGGGAGTAGATGTCTGGGAGGAGGGGGAGGTGCGAGGTTATTTGGAGGTGGAGTTCTGGGGGGAGGGTGAGGAGGGGGGGTTTCTTTTCTTGTTGATGGTGGTGGTGGTTAGAGAGGTGTGGTGTGGGTGGTGAGTTGAGGTTGGTTGGTTGGGGGTGTGGATTCATTAAGGGTGGTCATTGTTGGTGTGTATTGTTGATAAATAGTGGTAAGGGGATAGATGGTTTGAAGAGTATGGGTGAGAGGGGAAGTGGAGGGAGGAAATGCGGGGGTGATGTAATAGGTGAGAGGGGGTGCGGACACGTGCTTATGGTTCTATGTAGGGAGTTAATTCAACTGAAATTTGTATTTTGCTTTTATTCTGTGCTCGTGTCATGTCTACATTATTGATAGTTGGCTAATCCTGTCTAGCTGGGTCCTGGTCTGGCTTGTTCTGCAAATACTCATCAATCTCGGCCATAATCTCCGGTGTCAGGCGTGGGAGTAACTTCAGACTCTCTACGTTGTCAACAACCTGCTCTGGCCGAGAGGCGCCGGTGATTACAGCGGAGACATTCTCGTTCTTGAGACACCATGCCAGAGCCAATTGCGACAGTTTGACGCCCATTTTGTCCGCAACCTCCTAGAAGTTTGTCAGCGATATGCCTTAATTGATCGAGTGAAGTAGCATACCTTCAATCCAACGATCTTCTTGATATTCCCAGCCCATTGCTCGTTCTCCCAGTCTCTGCGCACGCTGCTTGCGAACTTGTCGTTGCTCTCTGCGAAGCGAGATCCTGGTGGAGGCTGCGTCGTCGCATCGTTGTACTTGCCACTGAGGAGACCCATCTTCAATGGTGAGAAGGTGGTCAAACCAATGCCGCAGCGGGAGTACAGTCGCTGGTACTGGCCTTCCACCTTCTGCCGATCCAACATGTTGTACAGAGGTTGTTCGACAATGGGCGCAATCAGTCCCAAAGCTCTGGCAATACCACAAGCCTCGCTGATCTCGTCCGCGGACCATTCCGATGTACCCCAGTAGAATGCCCATCCCTTCTCAATGACATGGTTGAAGGCTCTCACTGTCTCTTCCATGGGTGTTAGACGGTCGGGGCGGTGGGCGTATATGATGTCGACATATTCGAGCTGTAGCCGCTCAAGAGATGCTCGTGTGCCTTCGATGATGTGTTTGCGGGATAGACCGTGGTTATTGATTAGAATCTCGCCATTCGCCAGACCCCAATTGAGCTGTTGACTGATTAACTTGCATCTCCTATGGCCGCATAGAATGACACGTACCTTGGTGCTAATGACAAGATCGCTGCGCTTCCAGCCAAATTTCTTGATGGCCTGACCCATGACAATTTCTGATTGTCCGCCCGCATAGCTCTCAGCTGTGTCGAAAAGATTGATTCCCAAGTCGTAAGCTTGCTTCATGCAGTTGAAGGTGATTTCTAGGGCAATGAGTTAGCTTGTGGTGCGCCTTAAGGCAAACTTAGTGATTTTTACCGTTGTCGACATGACCGCCAAAACTATAGTTAAGAATTAGCCGTGTACAACTCTTCTCTGGAGATGAACAGATACTCACGTTAACCAGCCTCCCAGTCCAAGTGCAGAGACGTGGAGACCAGAATTGCCCACTCGCCGGTAGAGCATGTCCTTGTTCTTGTTTGGCCACGCCATGATTATATGTAGAGTATCTCCTTGAGAGCCAGTGAAACGTAAACAGGGAATAGAATGAAAAGTCAGAGCGTATTCATTGCGATCTGTGAGGGGTCGTGAACCAATTTATTTGGTTGCGACAGTCATTGCGTTGCGCCCGGGGAGCTGCCATCGCGATCTGGCCGCGATTGGTCGGGCAGATGCGGTCATTGTACTGGAATCGAATGAGAGCTGTTCTTGACAGAGTCTCCGGATCCTCGTGCTTGTGAAGACCAATCATATGAGCATTAAGTCAAGGAGGGGCAAATGCGGAGGCCAGCAAAGGCGTCGGGGGAATACTCGGAGGGTCTGGCTCTGCTTTAGCCTGGATGTTTTAGCTTAGGCACTAGTGGTCTTAGCCAGTTCTGAGAAAGGCTGCTCAGGGTCTATCTCCGTTATCGATGTACTGCTAATGAAGTGTCGCAATGTGAAGATAGCAATAGCTATGAATGTGGAGGACAGGCCTTAGCAGTAATAATTGGAGTAAATGAGTGCAATTTGTGATTATTATCCCATTCGAGATAGTATGCTTGTCAGGTGACAGCAGGCAGACAGCCGTTTATAGTCCAGCCAGCGGCGACCGAGTTCCTACAAGTACATCCATCCACCGTTGCCGAAGATTTTCTTGATCTCTTGCATTTCTACCATCCTTTCTACGTTCTTTTACATTTATGGTCCAAGAGTGACTTTTAATACCACCAATTGCTTCACAATTACCTGAGGGAATACCGAAAATGTTCATGTGGTATATTTACGCCAATGAAGAAGATGCGATCTCCTGAAAACCACTTCAACTACTGTGACCGTCCTGCAATTGATTCCACCGCTTCTCTCATGCTTAGTCTGTATACATTCAGCTATGTGACTCTCATCTAAGAAGGCAATGCTTTTCAGGACGAACATCCCCTGATGTCTGTTGTGGACAGTCCAGGCACACGAGGTGGGTCTCGATAATGGCGTGCCGCGTGGAGTTGAAGGCGCAATCACCCGCTATCATTAGACATCCTCATCGTATCATTGCAACACCTTTTCGACAAAATTCACAATTCAAGCAATACAGCAACTTCGCAGCGGAGTCAACCAGAACTGCTCCGTCGAACGACTCGGATACGCCACGTCTGCACCAAGCGTCGCTTCAAGCTGCACCAGTCAGCGAATGCGTAGGCTTTGCCCCGCAATGACCTCGGGTTAATCGTCTCCTCGCATCATTGGGGATATGCAGCGTTACGCTACTGGCTGATTTTCGGCTCTACTGACAGCCCATTGCCGTTCAACTTTTCTCGCAACTCCGTCCTGTTTCCTTGTCATGCATTCAATCGAAGCAATCTGCGCTACGCCTGCGACTTGACAACCACAAAGATGTCTTCCAGAGCAAGTATAACGAAGAAAGCATGCGACGGCTGTAAGATTCGAAAGATTCGCTGTGGTGGTGGTCAGCCATGCCGGTCCTGCTTCAATGCACGCATCAAGTGTACCTACATCCGGGTCCAGCAACCTCGTGGTCCTCAGAAGCTGCGCGCAACTACCAAGTACCTAATAGACCAAGCCCAACGCGGTATCGAGGTACATGATGCTCTACCCTCGATCCCTCAGAGCGGGGAGATTTTGGAGACCGACCATACCTCGACACCGGTGCAGCGAGAATGCGGTGCAAAATCGGAAAGGTGTGTTAATGATCATGCTCGCGTCGTGCAGCCAGAAAGCCACTTTATTGTGCTTGTTACCGTCTAACACTTCGAGCGACACAGATCTCGCATACCCACCAATGTCCTCGCATCCCCGCTTTATATATACCACGTGCGAATGTATCCAGTCTGGCCGATCGTCGATGTCGAAAGTGTCATGTCCAGTTTGCAACAGGATGTTGAGGAGAATGACCACGAGACATATGCATTAGCAACTGCTGTGGCAGCGGCAACAATCGCTCAGTTAAGGCTAGGGCAAAGTTCTCTCCCTGACAAGTCGATGACTGCGGAAACATTTGCAGCGGAGTGTATGAAGGCCCGCAGATCCTGCGATTACCGATCAAGGCTCAATTTGAACAATGTCCGGACGGCCTTCTTCCTTCATGTATACTTCGAGAACCACCAATCGGGCGCCAGCGAATCACTGTTGTACTTGAGGGAGGCTATTACACTCGCCCAGATGATGTGCCTGCATCGAGAAGTCTCATACGCTGGCCTTCCCTCGGAAGAGCAACAAATGCGTCGCCGTGTGTTATGGCTGTTGTTTGTCACCGAACGGTAAAGAACCCGCTCTTGCTTTGTGTCATTGTCCCTAACGTTCTCATAGCGGCGTCTGCATACTCCACAAACTCCCCGTAGTCTTGAGAACAGATATCTCAACCCCAGAGCTTGATGCGAATGATGAGCCCCAGGTTCTGCCGGCCTTCCTGAAACTGCTCAATCTGTTCCGACTGTTCGAACAGTCAAAAATGTTTGACATCATCGAGGATGATAAGGGAGGCTTTGAGCCACTGTCCAGCGAAGTTCCTAACCTAGACAGCCGTTTTCTTAGGCTACTGCAAGATAATCTGCAGGACGGATCAGCTTTGTTGGACCATATTTCAGACGTGCAGAAGGCAGACCTCTGCGTTACCAGACATTGGATGCGCATGATCTTGTGGAAATTTTCGTCCAAGAAAAGCGCTTATGGGTCTTCTACTTATTGGCCCACTTCTCCATCCTTTCCAATCTTGGTCGCAAAGGAGCTATTGAACATAGTATCGCAACTACCACGAGCGGCCATCGAAGCTCACGGGCTCGGTATGGTATGTTACTTTCAGCAGCCCCAGAGGAATGACCACTGATTAGATCT